CCTGCTGTCCCTAACTTTTTGGCTGTGGATTTCTCAGTTCCGTTTTTGGTTGCTCACTTATCACAGATTTGTGTTCTTCAAAACTAACTTTCTCCTCTCTTTCCCATTGGGTTACCCATACTTTCCATAACTGTGGCTGTTTTGTGGAATGCCTGGTGGATTCTTTGAATCAAATTGAATTGTTAAAATATAACTTACTGTTTCTTTCCAGCTTGTTTGACATCTGGTTCGATTTACAGTTGCCCTCCCCATTTAAAAGTATCTGGTTTTACAGTCACTGTTATTTCATTGGTCTGCACTTCAAGCTATGTATTCTTATGTGATTTAAATTATTATATCTTAATCAGTTTGGAGTTCTGTGAAAGTTTTTCTCTACCAGATGAAACTGAATAGGGTTATCCTGGTTGGATTGTAACAGCTAGTTCAAGAAACAGGTGACTAGAAACTGCGGAGGTGACTTTTACTGTTAGAGGCCTGAGATTCAGTGAATGTGTTTCAGGCTGGAATAATGCTAACAGAGCTTTTCTGCTATTTTATATGGGCATCTGAGGAGTCAGGCTTCTTACTCTGTTATGATTTCTGTCCAATAAAGCACGTAGCTTTATCTGATAACACGAGTCTCGGTATGTGGGATGGTGATCTCAAAGAAGACTTTGGACAACCAAAACGGTTAATGCAGTTTTTGATAATGCTGGCTTCCTCCTCCTGGTCTGAGAGTTCAGTTACCTCTTTCTGAGTAAGGTAATGGTTCATCTCTCCAGCCATGTATCCAATTCTGGCTTCAGTAGTACCCAATACATGTAGCTGCTTGTTTTTAGTATGTTTACCTTTGTAGTTTCAAAAGACTTCTGTTTGGCAGATACTTGCAACTTTGTCATAATTTTTTTTCTGAACGAAATGGATAAGTGAGCACCTTGCTTTTTTTAAAAAATATGTTTCTGACTGCTGGCTGCATGATCTCCTGTATTTTCCTTTCCCTTTTACTAAGATGCAGGCCATTAAACTGCCAATAAAAGATGGACTATCTTCCATAAATCAGAATTTCTTATTTGCACCATTTAATTTGCTGATGACTTACACTGAAGATCCTTTCTGTAGATCAGAAAGGATCTCCAAGGTGATCGTGGGGAATCTCTTCTTCAGCTCTCCTTCTAGCAGGCAGATTCTTGCTCACTCATGTCTGTTCTTTGCAGAATATTCTTTGCTTCCTCAGCAGAGCACTCAGGTAAAGGATAGCCTTCCTTGAACGAAGCAGGATTTTTGTAGCATGAACCAATGATTTACTTTTTTTACTTTTACCTCTCCTCTTGAAGGATAGATTATCCTTAGATCTCTGGTAAGTAAAACAAAGAAATTTTAAAAATCCAAACTTTGGAACAAGCCTGTGTGTAAAAATAACAGATAGGTAGGATGAGGAAGCAGGAAAAGCACCGTGTCACTGAAGGAATGTGGTTGTGCAGGGACTTTCTGAAGGCCCTGCTGTTGCTTCCCTGTGAATTTTTTGGATAACAGCTGTTATACTGGCTCAGAAATCCTAGAATGTGTGTATATGCATGTATATATATAATGTACATATATACACACACCCCCCTCATATTATTACAGCCATGTTTATAAATCTCCCTCATGCCAGAGAGATTATCAGGCCACTGTGCTATCTCAGAACAGCTTCAGTGATATTGCTGGTGCAAGACTTTCTGAAAAGCCTATTCTTTTTAAGCCTCAGTAAGTTTGGAAGTAATAGTGCTTTTGTGCAGTACCTACCTTAAATGCTAGAAAATGGGAGATAATTGACCCCATAGATTCAAATACCATTTGTAATTTCCCTGTTGGTGATTTTTGCTAGTCTGCTCTCTTAGATTAAATTTTTATTTAGAGTTGAAGCTATTTTGTGCTTTTCCTCCTGTAAAATTAGGAATGTAAGAACAACTATATTATCCAACGTCAAATCCTCACATTCTTTCAAGAGCAATGAAAGAGTTACTGAACATGCTCAACCAAGTCTCCCTGTTTATCGTCCCCTGTTTTTGTGTGCCCTGGCTTACACTGGACTCTAGCAACTTTGCTCCTGTCTTTGTAATGCTAATTTATTTACTGTGTGCATCCAAGCAAATTCAATACCGAGGGTACGGTGAAAGAGCTATTTGATGCTAGCTATCGAGGACCCAAGAATTAGACCTGAGTGACCTGGGAGATGTCAGGGGAACAGCAAAGAGTAGGCTGTCTTCTCGCACCACAGACTGATGAAGGAAAAGCCAGCCCCGACTTAGTCCATCATTTTTCCTTAATACAAAGAATGAGTAAATTACAAGGAGTTTTTAGCTTGGAGAAAGAGAACTGGTGCAGTATGTGAAAAAGATTAATGCAGAGAAAGTGTGACTAGAGAATGACTTTTCACTGTTTCTCATGGTACAGGAACTAGAGAGAATAAAACAGTGTCAGGAGAGACAGCAGGAGATACGTGCGCTGTGCATTTAATTCAGAACTCATGGCCACTGGAGGTTGTGGGCACGGACTTTATCTCAATAAATGAGACAAATTATCAGTAGACAAATCCATTGGGGATGTCTGACCATAGAGAAGTCAGCAGTGGCTTGGAAATCTCAGTGATGCAGAAAGGTGGGAGAGAGGACTAGGCAGGCCCAGCTCTGTGCTTCCACACTCTTACGTTCTTGTACAGGCATTTTCTGTTGGCACATCAGAGTCAGGGTGGTGAGTTGGAAGGACCTTTTGTTTGACATTGTGGGGATTTTGTTTATTTTAGTAATAGGATGGGCTGTATGGTGGTTAAGCAGCTGCTACAAGAAATCACTGAGGTGTCCCTGTAATGGAGAGACCCTTCCAGAGACAGCAAGAGACGGATGGGTACATGAATGAGG